TATTGCAGATAGATGCCCTGAGTTAGGTGTTTTTTCGCTCTTTTACCCTTAGCTCTATACGACAAAAAATATTCTCTTTTTTCTAAGGGTAATAGAGCAAAAAGAATTCACTAACGGGGTCGATCCACAACAACACAATCAATAGGCTTTTTCCCTTTTGTTTTCAAATTACCTAAGAAAGGAAGCTTCCATTTTTAGTTTATCATTATTTTAGTTCTCTTCTACATACAAAGTAAGAAGTATTATAAGATATTTTAGATACTTTCTTATTGGGTTGGGATCCAATCACATAGTTCGGCAGTATCTACTACAAATGAATTCGCTAAAATTACTAGATCTTTCTTCATTTATTGATGCATATTGTGATCCATATTTTACTGTTTTGGTATAATTTTTTTATTAGACTATGGTATATGATTTCTTTAATAATATAATAATAGAGTAATGATAATAATAGCAAAATAATACAATTAATAATATATAATATTAAATAATTAAATAAATAAAAAATAAAAAATAAAAAATAGATAAGATATCTACAAATTTGATTAGTAATTTAATTTCGATAATGATTTAGTGATTCCAAACAGAGATGCTCAATCTGCAAATAGGCGATATGACGAATTCTATCTAAAAAAAGTTACCTATTAGCATAGCAACGCGACAGAGCTTGTTCCAATTTATACATTTTCCTTTCATTTTAATGTTTTCCTAATATTATACTATTAAATCCAAATTTCTGTTATTTTAAATCTTTACATTCCTATTGACTTATTAGCGTCATAATAATCTGAGCATGTATCATCTTAAATTAGTCCATAATCATGCGACCACAGGCTTAAGGCCCGTAGGCCCTAAGACCTATAGGCTTGGTATGCTCACTAGTGCTCTGCTGCACGTGATGTGTGCGTAAACAGTATACTTTTGTGTAAAATTAATATAAAATTAACACTTATTCCATAGAAAAATACTATTCAAGCAAAATAACATTGTGCTTAGTAAAAAAATTTAAAAGGTTAAACTATCATCAAATAATAGCGTAAAAATGAAGAATTGAACATTAGAGAGGAAAACTGATTACAATTGATTTAAATAACATGAAAACTATATCATATTTTGATATAATAATAGCATTAATATTGTTAAACATCAGATTTTGATTAATGGGGGTCATTGAGATATCAAGCAATTGGTAGTCTTTTTCCTGCGGGAAAAAGAATATGTTAATAACATTACCAAAATCCTTTTTTTCCTGCCAGCAAAAAGAGTATGTCAACAACGTTACCAATATCCTTAATAAGTCAAAACTGATACTCGATACTGCAGTGGAGAAAGAGATGATGAAACCATTCTAAAGTGAAAGTGATGACAAAGATCGAAGAACCAAGGAAAATATTTGCCCAACTCATTATTTCGAGGATGAGAATT